TTCGGTTTCGGCCGGCCTCCAGCCTGGGCCGATGTTTAGTTCCAGTCCGTCGCTGCCCATGATGTCTCGATGTTTATTTATTGACTTGCTAAAAGTTGCCACCCGTCTTAGTCTTGTATCTTTTCACTTGTTGCTTCTCGATGTTCCTTGCTGAGCGTCCAACCTAAGCCCCCCCCCTGCTGGAGATCCGTGCAAAGAGCTTCATAGCTCATCAGATTCCTCCGGAAAAAAAGAAAGTCGACAACAAAAGCAAGCGTCAGACTCGTCTGTTGGCGACAGCGTGGGACTACTGCCCCCTAGTGGCTGCCCATCCACGCGCCATCCAGGAGCAAACCCCGAGAGGCGGTGGGATTCGGATAGAGGGCAGGGGGGTTGGGGAGTGGGATGGAGGGGGAGGGGGGAGTGGGATGGAGGGGGGGGAGTGGGATGGAGGGGGGGATGGGTGGGGAGTGGGAAGGGGATGGGGAAGGGGGGTGGAGAGTGGGATGGGGGGGATGGGGGGTGGGGAGTGGGATGGGGGGGAGTGGAATGGGGGGGGGGGGGGGGAGTGGAATTGGGGGGGGGAGTGGAATGGGGGGGGGGATGGGGGAGGGAGTGGGATGGGGGGGATGGGGGGTGGGGAGTGGGATGGGGGGGAGTGGAATGGGAGGGAGGAGTGGAATGGGGGGGGAATGGGGGGGGGGAGTGGAATGGGGGGGGGGAATGTGGGAGAATGGGGGGGGTGGGATGGGGGGGGGTGGGGAGTGGGAGGGGGGGTGGGAGGGGGGGTGGGAGGGGGGGTGGGGAGTGGGATGGGGGGGGGATGGGGGGGTGGGATGGTGGGGTGGGGAGTGGGATGGGGGGAGTGGTGGCTGGGGGGGGGTTAGTGCGGCTATTTTTTGTGCCACTAAAACTGGCTCTTATGCAATGTGTTGATGCAACTTCTGTCGCACTCACCTGCCGACGCGTGAAACATAATCGCACCGCGACACAATACCGACACGCACAGTTGCGACACACGGACAGTACCGGCTCCACCCCCCCCCTTTCACTGTGTAGCCTCGAACAGACTGGAGTGGTAGGTTCCGTGAGCGAGCGCCTGCCAACGCCCGAACGGAACACGACGGGGGTGGGTGGCCGAGACACCGCGCCCGGCCGCCTTTGTCTCTCCCCGTTGCTGATGTTTACACACCACCGTCCCAGGTACATTACTCATTTGCGGCTGAGCCGACGTAGTCAAACACTGCCGTGGCAAGTGCTGGTTTCAAAAAAGGTCAGTGATTTATGAGCATTGATGCATCGGTTCTCATCTCTCCCGTTTACAGTGCTTCGCCAGTGGTGAGAATTCCACGTTCCTACGGCGGGGGTGAGTATATCTAAAGGTCAGCCACTGTAGGCTTCCATACAAAGTAGTTCTCGTTTTATCGACCCCTCCGCATCCCCACGGCCAGGATTTGAACTCGAGACCAATTTTCTGAGTTTTACCCGCTCGGCGCTCCGCTCGTTGTTGTGAGCGTTGCTCCTCTGCCCTCCGCTGTTGCTGGAGGATGACCGCCTCCAACCGCCCAGCAGCGTCCTTCACGAGCCTCCCCTATAGGGGCCGATCTTGACACCGCTGGTAGCAGTCATCGGCAAATCAATCAGCTCATTTCGTACCGCACCAGTCAATTTCTTCACCAGCCCGTGCCGCGCCCATTTAGCCTTCTCAATCCAGCCAAACAGAAGCTGCTTGGGCATGCGGTGGCTGGGCTTGCGGGCTACATTACCCGGCCAACGCAACTTCACTTGCCGGAGAGGCTAACTGATGGGACCGTATCCAGATCGTTCAATCAAAGCTGGTTAAACTCCAACATCCATCTATTACAAAAGCCCGGAATGTCAGTTTGTCCGTCAACTGCATGATATGAGAGCTCTTCTCAAGGCCTGAATCAAAAAGTTATAAGAAAGTGGACCCCCCCCCACCCCAGAGCTGTGGATAAAACGTTGATACACCCTACATAGAATATAGTCAGTAGCATTTCCACACATTAGCCGAGAATCTAGTGTTTCAAACTGGCGCAGGTGTTCCATGTTTCTGCAAGTATAGAGAAGGAACGGCCTGCACTTACAACAAAGATCCCCCGTATAGCCTGTAACAGACTGTTGGAGCAAGTGCTTTCAGCGAGCACCTATGAAGGCCAGCATGGCACACGAGGGGGTGGGTGGCCAGCACCACGCCCGGCCGCCTTTGTCTCCCCAGTGGCGATGTCGACACACAGCACCAGGTACTCATTTGACGCCGAGTCCACTGAGTGGAAGGCCCAGGTTCGGTTTGGATAATCGTCACTGGTGTTGGCCGTGAGCGGGAATCGAACTCGGGTCGCCGGGTTCGTAGCGCAGCGCGCTAACCGCTACACTACAGTTCCCCACACACGAACACACTCATCACTCATCTACACAGTGACACAGACCCACCAACTCCCCCTCCCTGCCCCAGTGTCGCCTCCATAGATACTGTGAGACCAAGCAATGTCATGATGACATGATGGCCAACATCACACGAATCATCAGCAGCACGATCATCTCAACGGCGACGATACACCATCATCACTGGAAGTCACTATTCATCATTACCTAGAAAATGAGTAAATACAGATCAGCATCATCATCATATCAAAGGCAAATGTAGAGGTTTAATTATAATTGTTTTGATGAGACGTTTTACCCGTGACGCACGGGAAGAGAGAGAGAGAGGAGCGGGAGCTCAGGGGGTCAGGAGAATCAGAATGAGAATTTGTATTTAGACTGCAGGAGGAATCCGATGAGCTATAAAGTTCTTTTTCACAGATGTCCAGCCGGGGCGGGTAAGAACGTTACAACAATAAACAGTACAACAACAACACGACAGCAGTACAACGTATAGGAAAGATAAAGAAATCACTTTATAAAAATGCTAACTTTATTTTAAAAAATGTTTTTAATCTTACCAGGTATGTTCACAACAAAAATATTTGTTTTTACCAGGTGAAGACCACTGAGGCATTAACTTATTTATCAGGAGAGAGAGAGGAGGAGGCTATAGGGGAGCCTCGATGCTGCTGCTGATGCACGGAGCGGCGGCTGTTTTCACAGTGGGCGGGGCTAGAGGGGGGGGGTTCAGAGTGGGGGAGGGGGCACACAGAAGTTGCGGGATTTACGGGAGGCCTGAGCCGATTCAGAGAGAGATGATGATTATGATGCTGATGATGATTCAATGCTGATGATGATTATGATGCTGTTGATTCTGATTCTGATGATTATGATGGTGTTGATTCTGATGATTATGATGCTGTTGATGATCATGTCGATGTTGATGGAATGAAGAAGACGGTGATGAAGGCGAGCAGCACCGCACGACTCTTGCAGGAATGTGTGCGGCTCGGCGGCTCGGCGGCCGCGTACGGTGGCGAACTAACACGGTCACAACAACAAGAACAACAGCAACAACAGCAGCAGCAACAAGAGCAACAACAACAGCAGCAGCAGCAACAACAATAGCAACAACAATAACAGCAACAACAATAACAATAGCAGCAACAACAATAGCAACAACAACAGCAACAACAAAAGCAACAACAGTAGCAGTGGGTAGACTCAGATGCCTCATGTCGACCCACCCCCTCGTGTCGACCCACCCCCTCCACTCACCACCACCGCTGTGTGTGCTCGTCTGTATGTGTGCTTGTGTGTGTGTGCTTGTGTGTGTGTGCTCGTGTGTGTGTCTGCTTGCCTGTTCGATGGCCTTCATAGGCGCTTTCCAGCGGCACCTGCCCCTAAAACGTATGCGATGCCTACACGGGGGATCTTTGCCTTTGCCCACGGTCTTGTGCCGCGTGTCAACTCAGATGGGCACCTGGTACGGGGTGTAAAGACAAAGGCGGCCGGGCGTGGTCCTGGCCATCCACCCCCGCGTGTGCCGGGCCGGTCTTCATAGGTGCTCGCTAACAGCACTTGCCCCTACAGTCTGTTAAGGCTATGTGGGGGATCTCTGCCTTTGTATGCAGCTGCGAACCGGCGTCCTGTAGATTGCAAGTTCAGTGCGACGCTGACTCTGACCCCAACATCGCGGCTGCCCGTGGTGTCACGAGTGGCCGTGTGTATCCGTGTTCATCCACAGGTTAAGCCGCTAACAAAGCCGAGTTCGAATCTTGCCCTCGGGGGCAAGTGATATCAAATTCACCGAAGTGGAACTACCCACTCTTAACTAACCGCTTAACCTGAAGATAATGGTGAAGTATGGTCAATCGCCCCCCCCCCCTCTCCACCGACTTGTATCTATCGAGATAATTTAGATAATGTTTGCTGCTATATAGATTTCCACACGATCAGGCCACTTTGTTGGGCTATCATTTGTGGCAGGGTCGCTCCTGGAAAACGAGTTAGTGCCTCAGTGGGCTTTTTACCTGGCAAGATGAAAAATAAAACATAGTTTCGTTTTATTTGAATATTTCCCAGTGATTTGTTGACCTTTCCCATTCTTTCTGTATTTGTGACGGTCTTACCCACCCCCCACGCTGCACATCTGTGACAAAGATATTTACAGCTCATCGGATTCCTCCAGTAGCAATGGAACATTCTAATTGTGACGCAGCAGCGGCGGATCGACAGTCGCCCGGGGGTTGTTATTAAATTAGACGGCGACGATAGTGGTGGAGGTGGTGGTGGTGAAGATGATGTTGGCATTGGGGCTCGCGAAACCTGTTCCACATTCAGAAGCTCCAGCGCACAGCCACAGAACCGCCCCCCCCCCTATAACCGTGTTACGTAACCCGCAGTAATAATAATCAAGTGAGGGTCATGATGGAGAATGTAAATACATACCTGTGCGCTTGCATGACTCTGCTGATGAGACACCAGATGTCGAAACCAGTTAAGAGATTTGCCTGTTGAACCAATGGCTTAAGCGAGCACTGGCTCTGCTGATGAGACAGCGGATGTCGAAACCGGTTTAGAGATTTGTCTGTGTTGAACCAATGGCTCAAACGGGCAGTGGCTTTGCTGATGAGACACCGAATGTCGAAACCGGTTCAGAGTGAGTCCGTATCGCTGGTATAAATCCAACGCTGTTGAGAAGGTGCACTCCCAGAAGGCGGCGTTGGTCGATGGGACGAGTACAATTCTCCAAACACGAGAGTGAGTGGTGGAACGCAAAGCGTTGGAAGGTGGGGTAACCAACCCCCTTCTCTATCACCCGAGCACCCTCACCCCTCCTCTTGAGTCGCGCGCGCGGAGTCAATCACTCGATTCCAGCAGCGGAGACAACAAGGTGCGTGCAGGCGAGACACGGGGGGACACACGTGGGGACACACGGGGGTACACACGGGGGACACACGGGGGGACACGGGGACACACGGGGAAACATGGGGACAGGGGGACACGGGGAGATGGGGACACGGGGAGATGGAGACACGGGCAAACATGGGGACACGGGGAGATGGGGACACGGGGAGATGGGGACACGGGGAGATGGGGACACGGGGAGATGGGGACACGGGGACACGGGGACACACGGGGAGACGGGGACACGGGGAGACGGGGACACGGGGACACGGGGAGATGGAGACACGGGCAAACATGGGGACACGGGGAGATGGTGACACGGGGAGATGGGGAGACGGGGAGATGGGGACACGGGGAGATAGAGATATGAGGACATGAGTACAAGGCACGTCGATCCATAATGCATAAACATCGTATATTATCGTATACCATATATTCCTATGGGTTTGTCTTCCTCGGTATTGTTTGCTGTTGTAACTTGCCGACCCGCCCCTACTGGACATCAGCGTGAAAAAAGAAGAGCTTCGCAGCTTATCGGATTCCTGCTGCAGTCTAAAAATAACGATTTTGATTCCGAAGAGCGCGCGAGGCGACGCGGATGCCGCCTGCCCCCTGGAGTGATCGCGGCACCAGTCCCGTCCGAGACGAGCGGTTTCAACGCGCGGGCGACTCATCGGCAGGCGGGCAGGCAGGGGTTCAGGCTCGACTCGAGTCAGACCGCCGGGTGGTAGTGTCCCGATTGCCTTCGACGGGCGAGAGGAGCGGCGCCTCAATCGCCGTGGCCGCGGTCTCTCTCCGTTGGCACGGCGCGGAGCAAATGCGGGGGCGATGTTCGCACTCGGGTGGTCGAGCCCAGACAATCGCTACGGGAGCAGCGGGTGTCTCCTTTGGTCGTGTTGAACCGGTTGGCACCGAGTTTGTCTCATCGGCAGAGCCAGTGCTCGCCTTGAGCCCTTGGGTCAACACAGGCAAGCCTCTGAACCGGTTTCGACATTCAGCGTCTCATCAGCAGTCGGTGCTCGCCTTGAGCCCTTGGGTCAACACAGGCAAACCTCTGAACCGGTTTCGACATTCAGCGTCTCATCAGCAGTCGGTGCTCGCCTGAGCCGCTGATTCAACGCAGATAAACCTCTGAACCGGTTTCGACATTCAGTGTCTCATCAGCAGAACCAGTGATTGTCTGAGCCACTGGTTTAACACAGACACACTTGAACCTGTTTCGACATTCAGTGTCTCATCAGCAGAGCCAGTTCTCGCTTGAGCCACTGGTTTAACACAGACACACCTGAACCTGTTTCGACATTCAGTGTCTCATCAGCAGGGCCAGTTCTCGTCTGAGCCACTGGTTTAACACAGACACACCTGAACCTGTTTCGACATTCAGTGTCTCATCAGCAGAACCAGTGCTCGCTTGAGCCACTGGTTCAAGACAGCCGTGATGTCTCCTCCTTCGTATTTGTGGGCCAGTGCCATGGCGTCTGAGCGGCAGAGTGGCGGTCAGCGCGCTGTGAGAACGAACCCGGCGACCCGAGTTCGAATCCCGCTCACGGCCAATACCAGTGACGATTATCTGAACCGGTTCTAGGCCTCCCCTCTAGGTCGACTCAGCCTCAAATGAGTACCCGGTGCGGTGTGTAAACATCGCCGCTAGGGAGACAAAGGCGGCCGGACGCGGTGCTGACCACCCACCCCCTCGTGTGCCGTGGCCGGCCTTCATAGGTGCTCGCTAACAGCACTTGCCCCAGCAGTCTGTTCAGGCTAAACACAGAGGGGGGGGGGGGGGGTTCTTTGTTTTTTTTGTCTTTGTTGTGGATGACCACAGTCGCCACAGGTACACGCATCCAACTGGCGCGACGTTGTGCAGCGGATGCGATTCGGGGGGGGGGGGGGGGGGGGTTGGTAGACCATGAGCAGAAGGTACAAACCCGAGGCGGGGGAGCGGTGGGGGACCGTCTGCGTTTGGGGATTTGTTTCCCCACGAGCTGCGTTCGTTCACTTTTGCTCGACTTCGTCCCGCCGTGTCGAGCGGCCTGCGCCCTTCGCTCCGTGGCCATTCCGAGTTCCCCCGCTTTGCTTTTGTGTGTGTGTTTTTGTGTGTGTTTGTGTGTGTGTTTTTGTGTGTGTTTTTGTGTGTGTGTTTTTGTGTGTGTGTTTTTGTGTGTGTTTGTGTGTGTGTTTTTGTGTGTGTTTGTGTGTGTGTGTTTTGTGTGTGTGTTTGTGTGTGTGTGTTTTTGTGTGTGTGTGTGTTTTTGTGTGTGTGTGTGTTTTTGTGTGTGTGTGTGTTTTTGTGTGTGTGTGTGTTTTTGTGTGTGTGAGTTTGTGTGTGTGTGAGTTTGTGTGTGTGTGTTTTTGTGCGTGTGTGTTTTTGTGTGTGTGTGTTTTTGTGTGTGTTTTTGTGTGTTTTTGTGTGTGTGTGTGTGTGTTTTTGTGTGTGTGTGAGTTTGTGTGTGTGAGTTTGTGTGTGTGTCAGTTTGTGTGTGTTTTTTGTGTTTGCGTGTGTTTTTGTGTGTGAGTTTGTGTGTGTGTTTGTGCGTGTGAGTTTGTGTGTGTGTTTTGTGCGTGTGTAAGTTTGTGTGTGTGTGAGTTTTTGTGTTTGTGTGTGTTTGTGCGTGTGTGTTTTTGGGTGTGTGTGTTTTTGTGTGCCGGGAAAGGTCCAGGCAAGGATTATTGGACATCGCCTTGCCAGGCACGCTGAGGAGAAGTTTGCGGAGCCCCAATGCGGTTTCAGGAAAGGGCGGTCCTGCACAGATGCCATATTTTCTGTCCGTCTGCTACAGCAGAGGTGTAGGGAATTCCAACAAGACCTACATCTCTGCTTTATTGACCTGGTCAAGGCCTATGATACCATCAGTAGGCCTGGGCTCTGGGTTGTTCTTCACTTTTGGAGTACCTGACCCTCTGCTCACGATCATTAAGGACCTTCATAATGGTGAGCGGGCCCGGGTAAAACTACGTGGCCGGGAGTCGGAGCCATTTCCTGTACACTTTGGGGTGCGACAGGGATGTCCTCTGGCTCCCACATTATTTAACATCTATTTTGACCACGTAGTTCGTGAAGCCTTCAATAGCTGTACCGGGGGAATCTCCATTTGGTACAAATATAATGGGAGGCTGATCGATGCCCGGGTGCGGTCAAGGGATGGCTCCCTATTGCTCAACCACGTTATGTATGTCGATGATTTGGTAATAGCTTCTCATTCAGTGTAGGAGTTGGAGACGCTGCTGCTGAACCTGGAGCATGCCACTAAGAGATGGGGCCTTACCATCAGCTCCATCAAAACCAAGCACCTGCCTGGGTATTTTGTACCATCGGACACTCCACCCCCACAACTCCCAATCGGTGATGGGGCAGTTGTGGAGAGAGTGGAGAGTTTTCCATACCTGGGCAGTGTGCTTATGACCGGCTCCAGTTTAACAGCAGAGGTCTCACTCCGAATAAGTCGAGCGGCAATATCTTTTCATCGGTTGCGTAACGCTGTGTGGAAGCTACCTGGTCTGTCGCTCCGCACTAAACTTCAGGTCTTCTCCGACACGGTCATTCCCTCCCTTCTCTACGCTTGCGAAACGTGGACCCCCCTAATGGAACATCTTCGCCGGTTAGAAACATTTAGGCTAGCCTGCCTACGATCCATCCTGGGTTTAGCTAGGCTGGATTGTGTGAGGAGCTCACAAATCCTTGAAAGATCTGGGCAAGGTCCCATCGGTGAGCTCCTCCGGCAGGCAAGGCTGCGTTGGCTGGGTCATGTAGCCCGCATGCCCAGCCACCGCATGCCTAAACAGCTTTTGTTCGGCCGGATCGAGGGGGCTAAACGGGCGCGGCACGGGCTAGAGAAGAGATAGAGTGATGTGGTACAGGAGGACGTGGAGCTGAGTGGACTTGCCGATGACTGGTACCAGCGGTGTCAAGATCGGCCTCTGTGGAGGAGGTTCGTGAAGGATGCTACTGGGCAGTTGGAGGCAATCGCCCTCCAACAACAACGGAGGGTGGAGGAGCGACGCTCACAACAACGAGCGGAGCGCCGGGTGGCTGAAGCACAGCAGGTTGGCACAGTAGGGGGCTCAGGCAGTGCATCAGCCAGTCATCTCAGTCATCTTAGTTAGTCGACCCCTGGCACTTGGGTCTGCCCCGTGACCTCCTGCCAGCCACTTCACGTGGCCTCAAGGTGCACATGGCCTGGCAGAAGCGTCGTGGTGACGTAACCGCCACTTAATGGCGAATGGCGCTTGTTGTCGTTGTGTGTGTGGGTGTTTTGTGTGGGTGTTTTTGTGTGTGTGTATTTTTGTGCGTGTGTTTTTGTGTGTGTGCTGCGTGTGTGTGTGTTTGCGTGGGGTTTTTGCGTTGTGTGTGTTTTTGTGTGTATGTGTGTGCATGTGTGTGTGTTTTGTGTGTGGTGGTGTTTTGTGTGTGTGTGTTGTGTGTGTGTGTGCATGCAAAATCGGGTGACAAATTGTGAACGACAGCCGTCGTCAGACACGCCAAACGCGTCTCATCGGCGACAATCGTTGGTTCACTGCAGCTCAAAATGCTCCGTGGCAATAGCCAGGAGCGGGCTTCAAGGGTTTGCTGGCCCGTGACCCCAGACACACTCAAACAGCGGGGCGGAGGTGTAACGCAATCCGCGACCTCGTCTGAAAGCATCCGAAGACTCATAACGGGTGGCGCTCAGGCAAGAGACACTCGGTCAAGGGTTGGGTGATCCCACACCCCCTCTACCCCCCCGATTTGGATTTCTCTAAACAATTAATTCCGCGTCGTCCACCTCTCTCTCTTCTTGAACAGAGGCCATCTTCGCGCGTTCGCATCTGCGGCGAATTTCGCGAGAGACGGAGAGACATCGTCACAAATAATCTCACCACGGCGCCCGCTCTTTCAAGGCAGAAGGAGACCCAACCTAAGACATCATCGTCATCATCGCTCAGGAGGAGGAACGTCAAGTGACGTGCGGCAGAGCGATCAAGCGAGCGAGCGTAGTCCGATGGTGGGAGGCAACCCCATGGCGAACTCATCCCTGCAGATCGCCGGCATGGCGGTGGGGTTCGTCGGCTGGATCGGCAGCATCGCCGTGACGGCTCTGCCGCAGTGGCGCGTCACCGCCTTCCTGCCCAACTCGGCCAACATCGTGGTCGGCCAGGTGTTCTGGGAGGGCATTTGGATGCAGTGCGTCTCGCAGGCAACGGGCCAGCAGCAATGCAAGGTAACGGGCACCTCTCTCTCTCTCTCGCTGTGGTCTCAAGGTGCACCTCGCCTGGCACAAGCGCCGCGGTGACGTCACCGCCACGTAGTGGCGAACGGTGGTCTTCATTTCGGTTCTTGATTGATTGTATTTTACGGTGACTTTCAGACCGCAGTCCATTTGCTGGCACTGCCTCTTAGTACCTTTCACACGGTCAATAGTATAGTTTATAGCATTTTGTATAATACTAATAAATAGTATAACAGTGTAATGTTTAACATCATTCATAAGGCAATATATAGTACCATAATTGTATAGTGAATATACAGCAGTGTGGTATACAGTGGGGTTAGTAGAATAATACATAGTGTAATAATACAAGTCTAAGATTCTATAGTCTAAAGTATAGGGTAGTGTATAGTAACGCATTGTATAATTCAAGGGTGGGGTTTGTCTATGGATACATTATAAATGTAGTTTAGATTGGAAGGTGTAATATTGTAATTTATAGTAGTCCAGCTTATAGCATAGTTATAACGCAACACAGGACAGAGCAGCGCACCGTGGCCGTTTCCTCCACTTCCCCCCCCCTCCTCCGTTCCGAACATAGATGGACTCGTCCGTCTGAACAAAGCTCGTCGCTCTCCATGGTGCTAATCCCTCACACCAACATCATGCTAATCCCCCAGTTACATGCTAATTTATTTGTAAACTCCTTTGTCAAGGCGCTCTGCTCCTCCCACACAGCTTAAAAGACACTGCTAATCTTGGCAGGGTTCACTCAGGCGCTGTCTTCCGGACAGTCCTGTTTCTTCACCTGAGGAAGGCTACTTGTGTTGTGGCCGAAACGTCGTGAGAATTGTATTCTGTTATTTTTTTTTAATCTCCATTCTACGTGACTTTACCGAAAGAACCCAGAAAATAAATTTGGTGATGGCTACTCGCCGCCGCTGCTGCTGTTTCCTCCTCTCATCCGTGGTTCCTCCTCTCATCCGTGGTTCCTCCTCTCATCCGTGGTTCCTCCTCTCATCCGTGGTTCCTCCTCTCATCCGTGGTTCCTCCTCTCATCCGTGGTTCCTCCTCTCATCCGTGGTTCCTCTTCCTGGCGCCTCTGAGTGACTCTCCCCTCTCTCTCTACGAGGAGCCGGTATCGTGCGGTGGTGGCGCTGCGTTGCAAGTTGATGTATTATTATTGTTATCGTCGTCGTCATCGATCCATCGCTCACTGATACACGCGGGAGACCCGCTGTGCAGTTTGTCGAATCTCACAGCAGGGAGCGCCACCTGCTCGCTCGCTCACTCGCTCGGGGTCGCGGTCCACGTGTTACAATAATAATTTACATTTGTTAAACAAAAAGCCAATTTCATCCGTGGCTCCCAATGCGCCACCGTGCTGTAGAAAGCAGGAAATAGACAGAACCTATGGGGTAAATGGACACAACTAGGGGGGAGGGGGAAGGTCGAGTCCAGTTTACTCACTCGTTCGCTCACCAACTTACTCACTCACCTACTCACTCAGCCACTCAGCCACTCAGCCACTCACTCACTCACTCACCCACTCACTTACCCACTCATCGACCAGCTCACTCACTCGCCCACTCGCTCAACCACTCACCAACTCACCCACTCACTCACCCACTCACTCACCCACTCAAGGCTCCACTTAAATAGCTCTAACGACTCCCACTGTCTTATTAGCGACCGCAAAAGCGTTGTTCCAACGCTCGGGAGATGCGCCGACAAAACTCCGATCAGCACCTGCAGCCCTTCGAAGAAGACGATCCGAAGATCTCAGGGACCTCGTTTTGAAGATTACAGAGATGTATCAGTTCCTGTAAATTCTGCGGGGCTAACCCGCCGAGCGCCTTGTAGGTCATTATCAGCATCAGGGTCTCATAGTTCACTCGGCACGTGACTGGTAAGCCGGGCCAAGGGACAAGAGAGGGCAGCTTGTGCTATGATGCGCGCGAAAGGACTCTCGCGTGGTTGCGTTCTGGACGAGCAGGAGTCTAACCCAGCACCTCGCCAGGAATCCCCGTCGGCGAGTCCCCGCCGGTTCGATCTCCAAGCGCGGAGGTTGAAACAGCGGGCACGTTTCTTAGCCAACACTCGCTACCCCCCACGACCACCGCCCGAGCCTGTGCACGCCCAGCGGTATTAGATGGGTACCCCCAACAGATCGTCTGCCATCGGTAGGTTGCGTGAGATGTGGTGGGGTTAAGTGTCGGTACTCGGAACTCTTCCGAAGCGTTTGGTCATCGTGGAAGAGTAGGCCGAATACCCTCAAAAGTGAGCTTCCTTCAGCTCAACTTTGCTGGAGAGACCTTCCGCCAGCAGTGGCGTGAGCAGGGAATTGCAGGGTTGACTGGGTGAGTGCGTGAGTGGCTGAGTGGGTGAGTGGCTGAGTGAGTAGCTGAGTGATTGGGTGAGTGGTTGAGTGGGTGAGTTGAGCTGAAACAATTATAATAAATCGGCGAGTCGTTAAACGCTTGTGCACCACCTGACAAATGTAACGTCTTTGGCTATGTCGGGTGGTGAAGGGGCTCGCGACACACACGTGGCCAGATTATTTAAATGGCTCAACCCCAAAAACAATAAAATCCGAAAACTGTCTGCGAAAGCCTATATATTACGTGTTAATCGAATTGTATGTTACATACAAATACATGACAGAGATATACACGTGTACAAATCGATCATATAAATAGATTCGTCTCACGCTCCGGACACGCCTATGCCTACCCGCAACACACCTGCGGCTAAAATGTCTGCACATCTCGTGCCGAGCGAGTGGAACGTCACCCCTCCTCGTCACCCGCACTTCTATAGACCCACGGGTGGAGTGATGGGGGGAGGGGGGGTAGAGACAGTGCCAGATAATGTGTTACTCAGTTTAACACGTGAATAACCCAACCGGCAATGGATAACCCATTGTAATTTAGATGCATGCATTAAACCCCGACCCCCGTCGCACGTGAAAGTGTCATAAGTGACTTCATCGCATCTATCGCTCTATTTAATGAACGAAACAGGAGGATTTCTACACAAATTTGACTGTCGTCTGATGAAGCTCGTTGCAATTACTGGCGAAACGTCGTACTCAGATTGTAAATGTTGTGGATTCGCTCTCCAAAACACCGGTGTTGCTGTACTTGTCACGAATTGGCATGTTCTCTTTACGTGTCAAACCTTACTAATTGGCTGTGTCGGGTGGTGGCGGGTTTAACGACACATTCAACTAATAATGCTCCACCGCCCCATCCGAAACAACAAAGTGTCTGGCAAACCACTCGGACAACTCCCACTGCTAACATCGAGCAGCCGGGAGCCCAGCGCAGATAGAGGAGGTCGCTCATCTCCTGCGTGGCAGCAGCAGCAGCAGCAACATCGGCAGCAGCTGTGGGAATCTGGTGGAGGGTGGCACACACGGCGGCGATGTTGACATCAAGAGCTTTACATTTTGACTTAAATCTTTCGTGACTGCAGGGATTCATATTCTTTGGTTCTCTCTGTAAAGTAACGCAGACAGGGAAATAAATAAATAAATAAATCGCTTTTGAGTTTTTTTATTTGTATTTTGATAATTTATTTTTCGATTATTTTTTTATTTCTTAATTGCTTTTCTTTTATGTTCTATCTACGCGACTTTACCGAAAGAAGCAAAGAACATCAAGAGCTTTGGCCACCGTGATGATGCTGACGACGACGACGACGTCTTCACCTTACCCATGCCCTCCACCGCCACCCTCCCCCGTCCTCCCCTTGCCCAGGTCTACGACTCTCTGCTGGCGCTCACACCGGACATGCAGGCGGCGCGCGGCCTCATGTGTTCCGGCGTGGCCCTGGGCATCCTGGCCATCCTCATCGCGACCCTGGGCATGCAGTGCACGCACTGCGTCGAGAACGAACGCGCCAAGGCGTACATCGCCGTGTCGGGCGGCTTCCTCTTCATCATTGCCGCCCTCATCGTCCTCATCCCCGTGTGCTGGACGGCCAACGCCATCATCCGCGACTTCTACAACCCCAGCGTGCCCGAGGCCCTCAAGCGGGAGCTCGGGGGAGCTCTCTACCTCGGCTGGGCGTCCGCCATGTGCCTCGCGGCCGGCGGGGCGCTGCTGACCTGCTCGTGTCTCCGCAGCGACGCGGGCGGCTACAAGCCCCCCATCAACAGGCGACTGTTGCCATTGTTTTCCGGTTTCATTGCTAACAACAACAGCGACAATGTTGGTGGTGGTGGTGGTCACGGCGGTGGTGGCCGAGCGAGTGCCGCCAACAACAACAATGCTCCCGGGCGCTCATACTCGCTCAAAGAGTTTGTCTAGTCTCGTGTGCCTTTCTTTTAGTGGGAGGGGGGAGGGGGGGTTAGAGGGTAATTCAGCGGCCGCGCAGGCTGCAGCGTGGATACCGTGCAGGAGGATTGCTGCTCTTGCGCGCGGGGGGGGGGGAGACCAACACACTCGCATAACACGCGAAACGATTATGACGTCGTAATAGAAGTTTTCTTTGGGGTTAGATCGCGTAAATATATAAATGTGTCGTTAAACCCGCCACCACCCGACGCAGCCCATTAGTAAGGTTTCTCACGTAAACAGAACATGCCAATTCGTTACTGGTACAGCACACCGGTGTGTTGGAGAGTAATTGCATTTTACAATCTGAGCACGACGTTTCGCCAGCAATTGCATCTAGCATCATCAGGCGGCAGCCAGATTTGTGGAGAAATCCTCCTGATTGTGACTTACTCAACTGACACTGCGTGGATATGTCAACCATCCCCATGTGTTTTGTCCTTCGTAACCTTCGCTGTGATGGGCGAGCGCTGGGTGGTGTTGATTGGGGGGACCGCCGCCCCAAAACGTTTATGGACCACTAAGTTTGTTCGGTGGGGGGGGGGGGGGTGTGGGGTCAATGATGCGGTGAACTTTCAATAATAAATTAATCGTCAACATTGCCCCCCCCCCCCTTTCTCACAAGACTAATTCCCGTTTGCAGGTCGGCGCTGCGTCCACTTTATGCCGCACAGGGACAGCTTCCACTCGGGGTGGGGGGGTCCCCTATGCCAGACTGCAGGAGGGAGGGCATGGAAAAGGCTGGGATGAAAATTGAGATGCTCATTCATTTTAAGCCGCGCAACAGCCACCTCGCTTGCGCCAGGCCCGCACCCAAACGGCAGGCAGCACAACTTAAGCCGCCCCGCGGCTAAAACCGCTTTGTCCGTATCTGAGCGAGCGGCTGCGCGACACGTGCGCATCCAATGACGCGTTCGGGATTGGGAAGGGCCAATCAGAGTCGCGCAAATGCGCAAGCCGCGTGTCGACGAGTGGGCGGTGGCGACAAATCGCCAAGCAGATCGACGCTTGAGAGTCGACACTGCGTCTCATTCTCTTTACCACTACTACTGTGAGCAACCCAGTTGCGCAACTTGTTCCCTGCAACTGGTTGCAGAGACGCCCAAAGCAGACGCGAATCGAATTGCTTGCAGCTGATCGCCCTCGGTGCGAAGAGATCGTTAACGCTCGCAGGAGCGGATCGCGAGTGTTCGGGATCAATGAGGGGGTTTCTGTTAAACGTATGCTAAATATATGCAAATTATATGCAAATTGTGCCCACGGTTTAATTTCTCACTGATTATTACTTTTTTTGTTCCCGGAGGGGGGTGGGCGGGGGGGTCGCTGCGTCGACCGGTGGAGTTGCCAGTTCAGCGCACTGCGCCGTGAAACCCGGCGACGCGAGTTCGATTCCCGGGTACGGCTGACATCAGTGGCGAATGACATCGTCATCCGAACCGGCCGCGCATCTCACCGCCTCCCGTTTATCCACCTCGCCCCCTGACCCCCCCCACCGCTTTCACCAACCCGCACGCGACCGGCCCGGTGAAGTATGGCGAAAGGGAAGCAACGGGCTCTGGGAGATCTTTGACTGACCCTTGGTCGGAAGAATGACACAATCGGTGACTCTCCGTTCAGTGGGTTCAACGGTCCACCAAACCCTTGCCGCGTATTTAAATACATTTCTCAGACGCACACACGCGCATTGACGTAAATATATATATATAGTTATACCCAACACGCTGGTGTGTAAGGCTGACGTCTCCATGGCAACGAAGCTGTCCGCGAATGCGGCTCGCAATGTAATGAGCTGTAAATAGAGCGACAGGGCGAGACGGATGATTGAGTGGGGGAGGGGTGCGAGTGGGGAGTGGGGGGGAGTTGGGGCTGGAGGTGTACCACGTGGTCGTGTCAATTCTCGTCGATCCTTGCGGAGTTGATGATGGCAGCAGCGATACCGCTGGTCGCAAGAGCTCGATGTCAATGTAGAAAGTGGTGGTAGAGGTGGTGGAGGTGGTGCTGCTGTTGCTGCTGCTGCTGGCCACGACGAGAGGGCTAGAGCAGAGATGTTGTGTAGTTCTGCTGTTCTTCCTCCTCCTCCTCCTCCCTTGAAAGAGCGCAGACTGCAGCGCTTCCAGGGGCGTCCGTAGCGGATGTGCGTGGCCCTGGGCCGTGTGGGCCACCCGACGCCTGCTCACTAAACTGTGACGTCGAAGCGCCCCCCCCCCTCCGAAGCGTGGGGTCCGGGGCAGTCGAACTGATTCGTCGTACGATTGGGGCGGCTCTGGCAGCAGCAGCAGCAGCAATGCGGTTGAGGAGCTCGATGCCAATGTCGAAGGTGGTGGTGCTGCAGCTGCTGCTGGTGAGAGGGCTTCAGCAGAGAGAGAGTTCGTGTCGTTGTGCCGTTCCTCCCCCTCGATTGAAGGAGTGCAGACCGCACTGTGGCCACGATGAGTAACAACAGCTGATCGCTAGCCGGTAACAATGTACTCATCTGACGTGTCGAGAGGGCGAAGGGGTTGGGTGACCACTCCTCGCCTCGAGGTGCCGCTCGTTCCCCGCGCGCCGTGCTGGGCTAACGCCCCATCCTCTCTCCTCGTCCTTCCGAGCCTAAGGCGGTGTTCTTCTTTGCTAGGTCCGCAGACCACTAAACCTATGCAAACATTTCCGCATACACTTTTCTCTCTAAATACCACTCGTAAACAATGATTCAGCTTGCTGGAACATACCGGTTTTTTTTACGCAGCTATACGTTTTGTTTCGGATGTTCGGTTTAGGGGTAGCTTTAATCAGGGTGGTTTACCTAACTACATTTTTTTTTATTAAATATCATGCATTTGCATCAAACTAAACTATTATTTTGTATTTTACCAGGTAAGGCATACTAAGCTTTGTAGCTCTTTCTCAGAAGCGACATGGCCACAAATGATAGCTCAACGGAGTGGCTTATCACGTGGAAAATTAGAGCAGCCAAACACTCTGAACGCGCGTTTATAAACGTGGAGGTTAAAAACCGGACCACGGAGAGAGAGAGAAACACGCAAACTTCAAATATGCAACAGGCGTCAGGGTCGGGATCGAACCTACGACCTCATGTATATCAGGCGACGTAGTTTATTGCCAGAAAGGATAAGACATTCTTATATTTTTATATTGGCAAGAAAGATCTCATTGTAGCTGCTCACCACGAGCTATACATTCCCTGATAGTGGCATTGTCTTTGTGCTGTTCGCCTTTTAGCGTCCTCTGGTCTAACACTGGTCGAGACTAGCCCCTAAAGAAGGCTGTCTCTGGTGTGGACCAATCAGTTTCAAAGACAATGCATCATCATGTACTACCAGAGCATGTTTTTGTGTTTGCATGTTCACCACAAGTACGTGTGGTTAATGCCGACAGGATTCCTTGCAAAAGTTTTCCGTTTGGTCTTTTAACATCTTAACACAACTGTTTCATTGCCAGAAAGGGTAAAAACCATCTTTATATTCTTCATGGTTAACATTTGGCTACCGTGGCACCCATCGCAGCCACGCGAACCACCTGGGGGACTGTGGCGGACCGCTTGATGGTGCAGGGACCTCGCACTCTGAGAACCACTGCTCTAAGTCTACCCTGGAATCCCGCTGCTGCTGCTGCTGCTGTCAGACCATGGATGTCGCTGCCAGGCCCCAGCTCAAGGCTACGGTCAGCGTGGAGTGATGCCCCAGGAGCTCCACGAACTCACTCCGTTCACTCCGCTCACTCGCTGGTCGGGGCAGCCGCCTCATTGCCACCACCGCTATCGCTACCTAGGGGCCGTCCATGAATGACGTCACGCACCTAGGGGGGGCGGGGGGGGGGGTCAGACATTTGTGACGATGTGTGACGAAGGGGGTGGGGGGGGGGGGTTTGAGAAATGTGACGTCACATCATTAAATAAATATAGACAACACGTTCTACTTAATTAAATAGACTTTTTAATAAATGTTTTCTCCTACAACATCAGAGTGCAGCGGCACATTAAATACGCACTACAATGACAATAGTTTAAAGCAGAGCTTTGTGACGTCATATTTGAGGGGGGATCTTACTTTTTTTGACGCCGTGTGACGAAGGGGGGCGGGTCAAAAATCGTCCAAAATCGCGTGACGTCATTTATGGACAGCCCCTAAGAGAGTAACGTCGGACGAACGTCAGACGGCTCTTGACAGGCATGGCCATGTGCGTGGCGTAGTGCGCTAACCACTGCGCCACCGTTCCTTCACCCCCCCTCCTCCTCCCCCATGTCTCAGGCGTGTATATCCCCCTTGACGCATGAGCAGTGACGACGTTAATAGCCGCGTACGACGCTCACACTTAACACGACATTAACCCACGTCACGGTCGGATCATCAAATGCGCTGATTCTATTACTCCGCGTGGCGCACTCCGAAGAGGCTCGGCTTGACCACGAGGATGGGGCGACGTGGACGGCGAGGGGGGGGGGGTGGTGCCGTGTGCGCGTGTGGACGTGCGTGCGATAGATATAGCGCGGGGATCAGAGAGACAGACAGAGAGACAGACAGAGAGAGAGAGAGACAGGGCGAGCGCAGATGCACGCAGAGACGGGAACACGTGCAATGCAGAGCACTCGCCACACGCAGGGGCGACAAGATGGGCTCTTCACCCAGCAGTGAATAAACCATGATGATGATGGCAATAGTGATAACGGGCATGGGTAGGTGGATGCTTGGGAGATTGCACCGAGAGCCAGCAAGATAGGGAGAAAGAGAGACTTGGATGAATAATAACCAGCTTGTTTGCCTGTCCTAGGACGGAAGCTGTAACATTTACGAAAAAAATTAAGCAGAGTATAATTGTGTCTTGCGTAAATTGAATGGCAGTGAATCTTGCACGAATGTATGTCATCAAACACTTCACTGAGTTTCACTGTAGCGCTGTATTAATGGCAGTGAATCTGCCACGAAACTACGTCATCAAACACTTCACTGAGTTTCACTGTAGCACTTTATTAATTGCAGTGATTCTTGCACTAAACTACGCCATAAAACACTTCACT